ACAGAGTGGACATAAGTGGCATTAGCCTGTATGCTTCTCTTAGGGCATGGACTTATGCAAATGGTTCTAAGCTCACCAGGATCTGTTGGTGCTATACATTTTAAAAGTAGTATTTATTATTAAAAAAAAAAAAAAAAAAACAGATAATTTTCTGATCACTGCAGCAGATCAAAATTATACAGCAAAGATCCTAAAGTATATAGTGTCCTTTTCACTTCCAAAAGGAAAATATAGTATTTTAAATTGTTTTTCAATAAACAGCACATGTAGAAAGATCAGTTCAATAAATATTGTACAAGACACCAGGGATGGGTCCTGAAAGGCCGATAGGTGTCCCCTCTATTTGGGTTATGGTCCCTTTAAGGGGTAACAGAGGGTTAACTGTCAGGCAAGAGGAAGTGGCTTGAAAAGACAGGAAACTCCACAGGACCAGTGTGGGAGTTGGAGTAGCACAGGTGTGCTAGAGGAAAACTGAGTGAGCTGCTATACTGTACATTGCTAAAGGTGCCCATACACTGCTCGATTCTCGTACGAGAATCGGGCGAAATGTCGCGATCGTACGAGAATCGAGCAGTGTGAACGAAGACCGGCGACCGTTTCTACTGTACGGTCGCATGTCTTTTGTCGAACCAACATGCTCGAAAACCCGCCGAGAATCGTACGATTGTCGGCGGGTTTCTAGCCTGCTCGTCCTATAGCTGCGGAACGGGCCGGTGTGCGCACGCGCACACTGCCCATTCTGCATTGCGGTCATCGGAAGCCCGCCCCTCAGCGGGGCGGGCTTTCGATGATCGCAAGTACGATCTGCCCGTCCAAGGTGGGCAGATCGTACGCGCTTTCAATAAGCATACGACCATTGCAAGACAAAAGTCTTGCAATGGTCGTAAGGTGTATGGGCACCTTAAGAATTGTTTGTTCTGGCGGAAAATTACCCTGAAAGTTCTGGTGCTGTACCTGCGAGTAGACTTAAGTCAGTGTTACTTTATTTTGTATTATATGCTGAAGATAAGCGAATGTTATTTTGTCACATGCTGAAGACAAGCTATTTTTGTAGGATTTTCTTTGTCTGCCTTTGGGATAAATAAAGACTGTTCCTGTTTCAGTGAAAAACGGCTTAAAGACTGATCCCTGCATGCTTACCATTGTGCTAAGTCCCCCAGATATCACAATATATATCTTAATAGTGCATACTACTGTATTCATTTTCTACCCTAATATATGTACTTGAAGACAAGCACTCCATCCTCAGACTGAGCATTCTGAATAGTGAATAGAAATGAAGACTATCAGCCCTCTGTATTGGTTAGAAAAAAACAAAACAATACTCCAGGTAGTCAAAGAACATTTGATCCAGGCTGGAAAGCAAGAGATACTAACGGTAGTTAGGTAATATTGAGATACAGCCTATGGACTTATGTGAAGTGCGACTTTTAAAGAAAAACTCTGTCCAAAAGTGTTCTTAACCCTTGCGGGTTAAGTGCTCATATTTGTCTAGGTGTTAAAAGAAAAAACTGCCCGCATCCTGCTTCCCCACTGCTTTAAGTTATGATTTAAGTGATAGGTACACTTTAAGGTTAACTTGTGTTTTACCCACACAGAGAAGAACCTGTATTAAGTTGCTGATGTATGAACACTTCCACCATGCTACTTGTATGACTAGTTTTAATTGTATAATTCATGTATTAGTTCTCAAAGCTGTGTCCATGTATTTCTGAAATGAAAATTCATGCTACAGAAGCCACAATCCTGTTTCCTCCATGACTGTGGGAGTAAATGGTGAACCTACAATCTAAGTTTTTTTTTTTTATCAGGACTATGTGAGGTAGGGCAGGCTGATCTTGAGCATGATAACTTTGGCAGGTGTGAGAGTTTTCATAGAAAAAAAATTCTTATGGACACTGTGGGCAGCAGTTACATGATTTCCATTATCCATTTGGCTATTTCCTTGTGTACAAATTGAGTTTGGCAGCATACATGTACCAGGCAAAAGGTGAAGGGTCCAACTCTCGACTTTCTGAAAAGTCAAGCATTGCATAGTTGGTTTTGCTTGGACATAAAGCATACATTTCACAAAGAGTCCTATGTATGGTGAACTGATTTTCTTTACTATATACAGTTACTCTATTTTTCATCAGCTTGATTTGACACAGGTACACTTTTAAAAAGTCACGAGTAAGTGGCAACTATAGTGTTTACAAAAGGAACATCAATTCTTTAGAATAGCAGTGAATCTTGAGAAGGTGCTGAAATAATTGGTTATGTTGCTGTCACTGGCTGCCTGCAGTATTTAATTAAAATGTCTTGAGAAGTTTTATATCTAATTGAAAGGGTCTTTACCAAGTGGGGAGGGAACCAGCCTGCTAATCAGTATCTTACCTGCAAGGAGGTAAATGCTAATTATGACAGGAAAAGAACTCAGCTGGAACACAACTGATTAGGGTATAATGTGGTTTAAGGAAAGTGACTAATGAAGTCTGTGACTAATGGAGTCTGCTCACTTAGATAATGGCTTTTACCACCAGCCACATATGAATTATAAAGAATGGAAGAAAATCACAAACAATATGCAAAAGTAAAAGGACCTGTGAGCAAAAGGAAGGCAGAAATAATTCCCCCTGGCATCAAAACCTAAACTGCTATATCTGCAAAAAATAAATCAAGGCAATTATACTAGATAAATCTTTATTTTTTCTCAAAACCCAACCAAAACTTCATATGTTGGAGCTATAATCTATTAAAGTAGTTCTAAGGGCTAGGTGGTTTTCACATTAATGTATTCTCGGCATTAAGTTGAAAAACACCCAGGACCTTTCTATATCAACTTGTCCCCATATACTTACCCCCAGTCACCTCCGCTGGGTCAGGGAAGATATCGCTGTTCCCAGAGCTTCCTGGTTGTGGGGAAGAGTACTGAGGGCAGAGGAACCATAGGCTCCTTCTGCCACCAGTCATACGAAGGGGAGGGAGCGCGGGCATGGCTTGCTGCAGGCTGTGTGTATCTAGCTGAAGGAGACACCCGCAACAAGACTGAGGAGGAGAGCGGTTTGAGGAACAAATGGGGGAAATACAAGAAAAGCAAATTAAAGAAGAGTTGCAAAATCATGTAAGTGTGGGCGTTTTCTCTTTATAAAAAGTAAAGAAAAAAAAATCAAAGGTTAACCTATATTAGATAAAGGTCTACAGCCAAGAGGGGTTAGCAATTAACTCTACACAATGTTTAGAACTCCTTTGCAATTGACCACATAAAAATATGAGATTAAAAAAAAAAAAAAAACTCTCCCACTGAAAGACAGACACAAAATCACAGGGCATGATAGACAACAAATGAAAACCTCAAAACTGTAAAGGCATTAAGGAAGCTTTTAAAAAAATGTATTTAGAAGCTAGGATTGGCAATTACAAGAAACTGGTACTGAGAACGATAGAAAAGCTGCTGCCTTCAGCCTTGTGTAAATGCTTGTTGTCTGGCTGCCTCTTGCCTCAATAATTTTGTGAGTCTCTGTCCTTGACAAAGCATGCATCTAGAGAAGTGGTTTTTCTAAAAATATAATGGATCGGTAATGACTATCTCAAATTTGGCAAATTAAATGAACCCGTGTCCAGACTATGCACACTAAAGTATTTAAGTATTCTAAACAAGCATTAAAAGCACTGTCAAAATAAACACATCTGTAGCTATAGGTGTGGTGGAGAATCTATCATCAAAGTTCACCACAGAGGCACTGAGATCTTAATATAATACTTTCTGCTGCACCAAAATCTTGGCAGCCTTGCCAGCCCTCTAATGTAAATACACTGACATGATTGTAAGCTATTAGAAACCACCTGAAACACAACTTTAACCCCTTAGTGACACAACTTCAGAAACTTTTTTAGTCCCTGGGGACCGGAACAATTTTGCCATTTTTGCTGTGTTTGCTTACCCAAAATTTTCATCTTCCTCAATGATTGCACCTAAACATATTATATAGCGTTTTTTAAAGGACAACAAGGGCTTTAATTTGATGTGACATATGCATATATACATTCTTGTTTATTTAAAAACAAAATGCAAAATAAAAAAACAGTTTTCACAGTTTTGGTAAAACTAATGCGTACATATTTAGCGTAGCTAACAAAGTAATTGTCCCGATTTCTAGGGTATATCATATGTCTGGGATTTCAGTTCATTTTGGGAGTTATAGGTCACTATACAAATAAAATTTTAGTGTGGAACAATTAACTTTAATATCCTATTCGGCACAATTTTTTCTTATTTTACTTTTTTACTTGTATTTTTTCCTTTTTTTTTTTTAATTAAATGTTTGTTTTTAAATCTTTAAAAACAGTTTAAAACTTTTTTTAAAAAAAACTAGGGGGCACTAAAGGCTTTTGATACTTTTCTGATACTGTATTCTTCTGAGATATTTGTATCACTTTTGTAGCTGACTGCGTTGTTGGAGCTGCAAGCCAGACCAGTGGCTGTAACACTGTGATCACTGCGATTAGCTAATTTGCTTTTGAGGGTCTGCCTCAGACACCAAGGGACCCAGTTACAGCATGAACCCCATGAGCGCTGGTTCCGCCATGGACCAGCGCTCATTTTTCCTCATGACAGAATTATTCCGTCAACGGTCTTTAACTAACTGGAAGATCGTGACGGCATTATCCATCATCAGTCGGGAAGGGGTTATTGTCTTTGTTGTGATCTTTGAGAATAAACTATTTCACATTACAAGAAGATAGGCAAGGAAAATAAAAATGTTCTACGTTCTACTGCTTTGTAAATAATTGAAGGCCATTTTTTTTGTAAGACAGAATAATAAATAAGCAAAAGCATGATTTAAGAGGGAGACTGTTCAAACGAATAAAGTGTGTTATAGAGCATTGGAAAAAAGAAAAAAAAACACAAAAAGTACAAAGCTTCCAAAACATGCCAATGTAACATGCATCCCACATGCGCTCTTGTGGTAATGAGCTCTTACTCACAGTCTTTTGTAGCAAAATTATTTAACACTCACCACTTCAATGGGTAATGCGGAGAGGTCGTTGAAAGGAGTTTCCAAAGAGTTGGTGTCCACATTAAGCAAAACTACATCGTCCAGAGAACGGCTTCTCACCCTCTAAAAGGAAAGAATTAGTACCATAAAATACCTAATAAACTGCAGAAAGTAATTTAAGGAGCATAAGGAGTTAATGGTAACTTAAAAGTAAAAACTGTTTTGGAGCTATGCAAACCTTATTCCATTTGCAGAATCCATGAAACCCTTGACATATTGTATTAAAAACAATAACAAAATTGGAATACATGGTCACATGTATTTATATGTATCTTGCATGGGATATTTTAAATGAACTGAGTATACAGATTAATTACAAATAGAGCCTTATATCAAGCAACGTATTGAAGGAAATAATGTTATTTTTGTTTGAATAATAATTACTTTTCAATCACTTTAATTTTGTGGTAAACTATGTTTTATGTAGCTTACCATTTTACAGACAGAAAAGAGATGTCCTACAGAGTTGCCAAGACAAGTCATAATGTAAAATAACAGTGCTGGCAACCACGGGAAAATGGTTTAAACCCCGACTGATGTGCTTGACTGAACATGAAGGAAAAATACATCGACTTAACTACTTCCTAGGATAGAATTCCTGGCTTCGCACAAAGCAAAACAATCCTTACAGGTGCAATAGTAGACCTTGTGGGAGGCTGATTTCCTAGCCTTAAAAGGAAAAGTTAGATCGAGAAGTGAGCGAGCGACGGTATGTGTTCACTCACTGCCCGATCTATTGAGCCAACATGCGACAGTTTCATTGTCACAGGTCGGCTAGAACTATGAGGCTGAGTGATTTTCACTCGCCTCATAGTTCTCCTTTAAGGAGAATAGAGATGACATCATACAAAGGGCCTCAGGACCTGGGCTTCAAAACCATAATGTTAAAGCTAGCTAACGAGAAGCTGGATGGCATACTGGTCTTTGTGACAGGAGGTCTGGACAATCCAAAATTGCCCACAGAGAGTTTGCCAGGAGCTTAATTACATTTACACACCAGGGCCTCATGGGCCAGTCGGGAGCAATGAAGATCACCAGAATGCCCTCAGTCCCTATCTGAGTAGATCAAGCAGAACAAATTTCAGAACACCAAGGCAACCATCGTGAATGCTTGGCAATCACTAGTCCTGGCAACATACTTTGCATGCCTAAAATGTGCATGGTGACAGGGCTGAAACCTGAAGTTCCGCCCAAGTCAGAATCTGGTCCCATCTTTCTGAGCTGCGTGGCTTCTGATGCTTCCTTGATTTATGCAAGTCGAGGCTGTGGCTTTGTCCGACTGAATTCTTGTCAGATGACCCTGCAACTGGAAGGTCTAGCATTGAGGGGACAAGAAAATTGCCCTGAGCTCAAAGACATTTATTGGGAGCTGAGATTCCACTGATGGCCAGGTCCCCTGGACTGAGAGGCTCTACAGGACCCTATCCCGGCCTGACAGGCTGGCAATCATTGTGAGCACTTTTCAAGACATCAGTAGAAATAATTTTCCTGACTCCAGCACTGGGCTGGACAGTCCCATGCAGAAAAGATGTTGAGCTACAATGGCCTGGAAAAGAAATGAGCATAAGGAACTACCTTGAAGAAGGCCAACATCAGAACCTTGCAAAAGGAAATGGTCGGATGACAGCAGACCACACATTCTAGGGTCTGTGTAGTTCACTGGATGTTGGATGATAGGACCACTGAGGACTACTTTCTGAGGAGGATGTTGTCCAAGTACCCCACTCTGAGGATCCCCTGGCACCAAAGCCTAATAAACACAGGGGTCAGCAGCTTGGTGATTCCCTCCTTAAGAAGAGTAACAGATTGGAAATCCCCAATAGAGGACAGTGAAAAGATCCTCCCTGCTTTTGAGGGGATTTCAGCAACCTAGATAACAGGAAATGCGGAGTTGGAGAACCCTTGGCCAAAGTACCAAAAAGGTTGGAAGAGATCCTCCCACTGTTAAAAGTGGGTGCACCCCTTCATTGTGAAGAGGGCTTTGTCCCACCTTAGCAAGTTTGAAGGACTAGACCTTGCAATGGAATTGTGCTTCCTGCTTCAGCTTGGAGCCCAAGGCCCGTGAAGAGCAAAACAAGCTATTAAAGTGTATTTTCACTTTTGCAGCCCAAGTGGGATAACACCTATTTTATATCTGTTTCATGTTTCTCATTCACATAATTTTCTTTTTAAATTGCTGCTTGCATAACACGTTCTATTCTGAAAGAGAAGTTGTACTCTGTAGTGATTTTTGCTCTGGAATGCAAGGGGAGCTGGGTAGATGAATGCTAACATAATTAACTCTGTATTGTTCGTTAACCAGAGGAAGCTCAGGTCTGCCTCTAGTCTTTCTATGGAGACAACCAGAGTTTCCGGTCACTTGGAAATTGAGAGAGAAGCTTGCAAAGGCCTGCTGCAAGAGTGAAAATGATGAGGATGCAGAAGACTTTGATACTGGGGTTTTAGACTCCCTACTTTGAGGCAAGAAGGCATTTCCCCCTGTGCTGAGGTGGGAGGCTGCACAGGTGCTGTAGGCTGCCCAAGCCACAAGAGGGAACATTAAGGGTGCCAAATTTAAACATTATTGCTAGACAGCGCACTGCTAGAGAGATCACTTTGCAGACTGACATCAATTGTTAATACTGTAGTGGACTAGATGGCAGCAGTGGGGAAGGGCAGCAAGGATTACTTTAGGCATGTGATCTTACCAGGGAGGGTGGCAGAGGCCAGTAGAGACATGCTAGAAAAAATGGTACATGCATGAATCTATAACCAGCCTTTGTAGCAGGGCGCACATTGGGAAGGCTTACAACAATACAAAACACAAAAATTCCCCAGCCTCAACCTGCCAGCCAGCCTGCAACCAAACAAGTAGCCCTGTCAACAGTATGCGTTAAAATCAGAGGTTTTAGTTGCACAAACTTTTGGCCAAAAATATGTAGAAGCCACACTGCCGCGCCAAGGCACCTCTGCAAAGTGTGGTCCTAACTCTAGGTAGCCGAGTCTCCAAGTGTGAGCATATTAATGAAGTTGATAAATTACATGCAGGTGTACCTGGAGGTAGCCAACTCCTCCTAATAAGGTGCAGGGACGCACTGGAGGCCCAGCAACCAAAAATGCACGCTGGGACTCCAGTGCGTCCCCCAAACCAAAAGTAGTCAAACTAGAAAAAAATGGTACATGCATGAAACCTCTGATTTTAACGCATACTGTTGACAGGGCTACTTGTTTGGTTGCAGGCTGGCTGGCAGGTTCAGTAGAGACATGCTGCCCAGCTTTGCCCTTTGTGTGGGCATAACTCCTGAAAGGCATTCTTCTCTGGGTAACTGTATAACCCAGTGGTTAGGTAATTTAAATCCCTGTGTCCTGTGATGTATGACCAAGAGAAAAGCTTTATGTGACAGACAAGCCACACATTAAGGACAGTGTTTTGTAAAGATATCATCTTAATTTCCTACCTCTAGAAGGCTGAAGTGAACTCCAATTAGATAAGGCATAGGGGCACTGCAAAACAAAATGGATAAACTGAAATTATTTTCACCAAAAAACACAAAACAGTTATAATTTAAAAAACACTGCATACACTGTTATTTCTCAACACAAGGAGAATTCCTGTGTGTATATAGGGCTGCTACGCTTTTTCGCTGAATGCAAAACATCGCTGGTAGAAAATACATGGTTAGCACTAATTAAGTGCAACAGTATACTAATGAGAGAACATCTTCAAGGTGCAAAGCAAAGATTCCAGTTATTTTAGCACCAACGTCACATATTAAAGTCCATAACCAAATTGCTCCCAAAAATGGATACTGCAAGTCAGGGCAGTGAAATAAGTGTTTTGACTACTACATATAAGGCTACATTATGCCATTGCATGCTATTAAAACTTTATGCCCATTGATAGATTATATCATCTGAATGCCTTGCCATACAGAGTCAAAATTATCAGGAAAAAAAGTTAAAAGAAAGAAGAAAACCATTCATGCTTAGGTTTCGACAGCCCCTAAAGTAATGTAACCAAAGATGGAAAATTAGTTTTAGGCGCAGACATTTCATCAGGGATAAAGCAGGCATTGTAGATCAATTATTCCAAGTACCTCATTAAACCGAATCATATAGCGTTTGCATCATGGTGGATAAGTTGTAAGCACTCTTGCCAGCACTGGGTTTCATGGACACTATCGCATAGATAGAGTTTATATGTTATCTACGTGCTACCTACAAGTGCACTGGTCTTTCCACAAATCCAAGAACATACTAGCAGGTTAATTGCCATCTCACCAAAATTGCTCAACATTGTTTATGTGTGTGGTAGGATATTAGATTGTAAGGGCAGAGGGTAACATGAATGGATCATAGTAAGTCACTGTGTGATATGTTAGCTTTATTCCTTGGTAATAATACCATGAAAAAGAACAAAAATGTATTTAAGCTGCGTAGCATGAACAGAGAGAAAGAAGCAGAAGTACTACTCCTTTCATACAGTTCCATCACTGTTTCCATTACAATATTACACTTTGCTCCAGTGCTTCAAATTAAGGGGAAGAAACCTTATAAAAGGAAACACCTTGCTCCAAAAGGCTCTAATACCAGTGCATGGATGAACATGTGGTTTTTGTTAAAGAACATTGGTCTAAAAGACTAACTAGGATATTGTTTTTAAATAAGGAACAGTTTTAACTATAACCAGTAAACACTTTATGTCATTCACTTACAACGACAGAGCTGCAAACATGGCGCCCAAAGTCTAACACCCGTGAAGATGAACTTTAAAACATCTTTATACACAATACATTCGGTCTATGCCAGTATTGTGACACCCCTGCTAGACACCACAACCAGGTCCCAGACCTCTCTGCAGGTTACTCTACAACTGAGCAAAACAGCCTGGTCTAGGACCAATACAAGCCTGTGGCTGGGCAATATGGAGCATAAGCAGCCATCTCTCTTGGTCTGAGTTATGTTGTGCAGGGTACTAAAGACAGTTGTATAGTGAGATCCAGGTACTTATGCAAATAGTATGCAAAAAAACAAAAAAAAAATTATATATATATATATATATA